ATCGCCACAATTGGTACACACACGTCGGACTGTCTTACACGCAGACTCTCTGAATGCCCGTAGTCTGGAGCACGCCTCCACTTTACTAATATTTGGTCACCTCGCTCACAGACAAAATTTATCCCATGTTATACCAAAACTTTTTCGACCAGGCAGGTAGACCTAGTTAGTTGCGGAACTCGTCCAGTTGTGCCGACCTTCATTCGAAAAACTTGTTGTCTGGTCGTTCGACTATTCTAGTAATACACCGTGAGTTGACGGGTCTAGTCTAGTGGTGGCAAGGCCACCAACCGTACTAATCACAATATTTGGACAGTTCGGTTGAGCTTATGCATGCATGCATGCACGCTCAGTGTCTCCGCTTTCTCCAACATGGGTATACGCTTTACACCGATGTGGACGCACAAACCAGCAAGATATCGATCCAGCAGTTAGATTCTCTGTTTTTGAGTGCACAATGCACGCGGCATCGCTCGACCCAACAATCGTACGCTTTCCTCCTTTGTTCCACCCAGGGCAAACTTTCCCAAGTTGCTACGGACGCTTGAGTAACATTCAGTCGTTTTAGGTGTGATTGCACTAGGATGTCCTGGTTTTTGGCCACGCTGGCTTCCACACTACCATGCGAATATCATCTGTGTACTTTATTCCAGTAGCTTTCTTAGTCAGTGAACCATGCGTAACGATCGCGATTTTACTACCCCCTGTTCTTGAACTCATTCGTCCTGCGTCCCATGTAATCGTCTTGAAGTGATTATTCCTCTCCTTGAATTTGTGCTCTTCTCAGTCGAGGTCGAAATTTCTTATAGCGAGGGACTCCCCGGGTTATGTCAACTGATTTATCAACGGATGCCAACGACTGTGGCCTTGGGATTTTACCATTTCAACATCCTTACTCAACAAAGATTGAACTTCGGCTACTGAGCGTCTGTAGTTCTGGTAAACATTTGTGCCCATCACGTCTAGACCACCCACTCGCTGCGTCGGTTGACTCACAGAGTACTTGTTTCCAAAATGTTCAAATTGTTTCGTCTTTGGGCCAAACCCGAACTACTATCCGCATCGAGAACAATCTGACCATATCGTTCGGTAACCTTTAGTCCATAACGGATAAAACGGTATTAGCTGAAAGTTGTTGTTTTTTGCAGCAATTTGGCAACACCATGTTCTACCTAATCAGTCAATACATCTAACGCGCAGCGCGGTAATGCCCCCATTTTTCGGTTGGACTATGCTGATAACATGGACGGTTGTTTGAAAAAAAGTAGACACACTAATAGATGGGAACACTAAAAGCTCCATCAACTGAAAAGCACTCCACACCAGGCCCCACTCACCCATCCCGAATCGTATCGTCTCGTAGAAGAGTCACACTAAATTACCTAGTTATTTTTACGCACACGAACGGATACAAATGTGTGTCAAAAGTGTACACGAGGAGTCTTTTTTTGCTACGCTGACAACAAAGCTGTCTGCAAAGCCATTTACGCCGTGACGCGCATAATGTACCGGTTTTTGTTTGCCGATACGTGGGAAGGGGATACTACAAAGTTCGCAAAAATATTTTCCTCTGTTAAGCTCAAACGTTCAGAGTGATCAGCTCAGTTAGCCATTCTCCCGAGATGGCGTATACACAGTATAAACCCCATACTCTGCTTTTCATCACACGACTCTACGTTCCCTGTTTTCTTCCTCTCACTTGTTTCATTAACCTCTTCTGTCTTCCATGATTGGAATACCGTGCATAGTATGAATGCTGCACACGCTTCGTTAACTCGATACTTGTGGGGTTTTGCTTCACAGTGTGGTATGTGATAACACTAGCTGAAAGTAATGTCATTACTATGTGACCGCAGCCACTTGGACAGCGTCGGATCCAGAGCGGATGATAACACTAGCGGAAAGTAATGTCATTACTATGTGACCGCCGCCACTTGGACAGCGTCGGATCCAGAGTGGTGTGAACTTGGAACCACTGTTCCGTTGAGTTCCAGTCATGTGGACGTCACAATGCTATGCCATGGCTGTAGTGTAATGGTGCGTACTACTGATGAAACTTGTGAGTAGTGTCTAAACAGTATCCCCACATCCGATGGCAGTTTGATAAGGAAAGTATGCAACTGCTTTGTTTTGCTTGTTCATTGTCATTTCATAGTAAAAGAACGTCTAGGAATGTTCAAGAGAGCGCTTGAAAATGTTCACTTTTCAAGTTCTGTGTGCAAATGAGGTTTTTACCTTCCTGTCTAAAAACTTGTAACTAGTTAGTTTGTCTTGGCCACTGAACAAGTCCGCACTAAAAGGAGTGCTTCCTTTGATTAATAGTCATTCAGCTATGCCTAGCTCTTATGCACGAGGGGTGATGTTGCAACTCCCCGAAGGAACGAGCAGCTCACTGAATACGTTTAATGCCCGTCAAGAGCAGGTAGCAAAATGGCGATACTCCGCTCTTTCGACACAGAAAAAGTTGGTCAGCTCTTTCGTTACCTAGCTGCCATGCCACCAGAAGGAAGCACAAGGGCTGGGATACTTCCTGGTTTCCCAAGCCTAGACAGAGGAAGTCAAGAGACACGGGTCGGGTTCGAACCACGGATCTTCCGGTCAGTTAATTGGCACTCTAACCGCTGAGCCATCTCGCCCCCTTTCACCATAGAATTATCAGTAAGTTGGAGAATTTTACCACCGGTCTAGCATCCCCCCAAATGACTTGTACCACAAGCACGGCTACTGTGCCTCATGCGCCGCATTTGGCGGTGTACAGCACATTCAGCTGAAGTCCACCACAGAGCAGAGATTCAACTGAAGTTCATTTGCTTCACCCGTTCCAACCAAAATTGCATTTCGCGAATTTCAAAGAACTTATTCATCAAGATAAGTGCGTTTCGCGAATGTTGTCTTTCGTCTGAAATTTCTTTCGTCGTCCTCCGAATATTGACAACAGAAAGCCCCATTCGCACCGAACCACTGAGATTTCTAGACTACATCATCCAATTTCGGACCCGGAGTGTCCATCTTACCGGTTACAGACTCGATTTGGCAACAACTAAGGGCAGTGTTCTGCTCTCATTTGCCCCTGTTCATTCGCCTATATCGTTTTCTTCGCATACGTTCCATTCGTCTGTCACGGTCCAACTGAATCACAAGCATGCATCATCCTCATGCACGTATCCACCCAAACCGGTCACGAATCACGTTCGTGATAGACAATGGTCAGTTAAACTGACGTCTTCGAGAGTGCGGTGACCACACCTACCAACACATCACAGGTCCTATCTCGTTATCATCTACACAATACATGACTCTCCCGTCCAATTGACACCAGTGCAGTTGGGTTTTTTCGTCACTCTTTTTTCCAGCAGACCTTTGTTCACAGAACTAAGCACTGAGCACATTCATTTGTTCGTTTGGGTGGTGTTTTTAACACAAAACTGTTTGGGAGGAGCTGGTGCTCTCTCTTTCTCGGCATTTTATCGGAATTCGTGAGTGCTGTACTTGTAATAGGTCGTACAGAACAATACTAGAATATTTGTGTGTGTAACCCGCGGCCGTCCATATAGATCAGTAAGGTTCCTGGACAGGCCGTTTAGCTCTAAAACCCTATCTGTGCCTAGCTTCCGTGCCACCCAAAGAAAGCATGAGGGCTGAGATACTGCCAGCTTGCTCAAACCCAAACAAGGGCAGTCGAAATGCAGCGGTTGGGTTTGAACCAAAACCTCCCGGTCAGTGACTTCACACCTCAACCGCTGAGCTATTCAAGGTTGGAAGGAGATGCATAGTCAATCACTGGGACGGGCGATCAGTTACGTGTATCTGTGTGTTTTTAAAAAGTGATGAAGCGTGGATGAGTGCAACACCAATGAGCTCGAGTTACCTGGAAGTATAGGTGAATATCTTGGAAGACAGTCACTGTATCAATCCGTTTCTTTGCTCCGAGGATACACTCATATTCGCTATTGAAAGCAACCTTTGTGATTGGCTAGTACTCGGTCTGTACCCCCCAAAATCTCGTGCGGCGAACCACCGCAATCCATGACACGGCTAAAGTGTAGACATTGTCGTCTGTTCAGATATAATAATTCGAGTGCGCCCGGCGTGAGCTGGCAGAGTATGGATAACACGTTCGCGTCGCTTGTCGGATTTCCGGCACTGCTGATGATCTCTAATGAGAATGGAACTCGGGTCCAGGACTCCTCGTTTTCGTGTAGACTCACTAGGACAGAAGGAAGGTCATTCAGACGAGAGCAACGTAGTTCTTCAAGTCCGTAATAATTCGAGTGCGCCCGGCATGCGCTGGCAGAGTGTGGGTAACACGTTTGCGTCGCTTGTCGGATTTCCGGCCATTTGATATGCACTGCTGATGATCTCTAATGAGAATGAAACTCGGGTCCAGTACTCCTCCTTTTCGTGTAGACTCACTAGGACAGAAGGAAGGCCATTCAGACGAGAGCAACGTGGTTCTTCAAGTCCCACAGCCAGCTCTATCTAATCTTCGGAGCGCACAGCTCTGAAGTCCAACCATCATTCTCACCTGACGATCGACAGCTTCGTCTGAGATTCTTGTGCTGAAGGGTAAGGTTAACCTCAGATTTACGACATAGCCCCGGCATTTGAAGCGATCGGCTACTTGAGAGAAATCCGGATGAGTATTCCCGATGCATGCGAATTTACTGACCAGAAGGTCCGTGGTTCAAACCCGATCTCTGCCTCTGGTCTTCCCCTGTCTAGACTTGAGCAACTTGGTTGTATCCCAACCCTTGTTCTTCCTTGGGGTGGTATGGCAGGTAGGCACCGAAAGGGTGCTACAGTTGATTGATTTTGATTCTTCTATACCACGCAATATGAGGGAGCATGTCACTATGCTATTGACTACTCCGTCCAGTCTCCAGCTCGAACAATTTCAGCATGTACACGATTTGATATTTACAACACAGTGCTGAATAAGTCTGTCAGACTTAGTACATAGCAGGAAGGGGTGAAAATTATGGGTTGTCGATGCTAACCCCATGAAGCAGTGGAAACTGCCTTCTGGAATCTATCTTCTTCAAGCAAGTATGCTTGCAGAGGTTGGTATGGTAGGTGAGTGTCTTCTTAGCCAGTCACATAAGTTCCGTTATACTGGAGAGGCAGGAGGTCAGCGTTTGTCAACCTTCAACATTTGTGGCGCTGATTTGACATCGGTCATCAAGGCCAATGAGTACAATGCTGGCCACAGCGTGCAGAAATTTGGAGGCCTCCTGTGTTTGAAGCATCTCGCAGGTCTGGTGAGAACAGCAGATCAGTAATGCTGATGCAAGTTCTCTGGAAAGATAGTTCTCCATCGATGGATCACTCTGCATAAGTTGCAATATTCAGGCCACGTACTTTGTATTCCAAAGGGCCGTTTTCCTCGCGAGCCCTTCTTCGCCCAGCCTTGTATCGCGTAGAGACCATTCAGAAGCGATCATTCCATGATTTGACAACGAAGCACGAAAGTCCTTTCCAGTGGCCCAAGTAACTACCACCTTCCCGAATGAGAACACTGGGACGGAACAAGTCAGTAGTTAGTGAATGTGACGCCTATGGCTGTCATGTAGCCAATGGCAAAACTGTTGGCTTACCATTCCTTGCCATATCGGACAAATATATCGATTTAACCCCAGTGAACTGATTGGACCATCGCCTTCAACATGTGGCTATCACTTTCCCTTTCTCGTGCCCCGTTTAACGGAAGTGTAGCGTTCCAGGTCACCGTACTTTGGTAGACTGTTTATAGTTGAGGAATCGTCGCCGACCGACCACATGAATATGTGGACCTCACAACACTCCGTGAAATGGTGCTATTTGTAAATAGATGTACGATACACCGCATTGGGTTTGTTTCGTCCATCCATAAACTTCATACGTTGTCTCTTCATCCTGCCGTCCACATTCAGTGGGACGTGGGTTGTACAACAAGTTACCAAAGTACATCGGGTCAGTCGGTGATCAAGGCGGCAAGAAGTTTTGTCGGGCTTTGAAATCAAAACAACAAATTTAGCCAACCACTGGATGTCTTGTACGGTCCAGTTGTCTGAAGTGAGTTAATACACGATGCTTAGAGTTGGAGCAAGAAAGTCATTCCAAAATCATTTCCCTGGAAAGGTTGAATGACATCATCTTATCACAAGAATGGAAATCTACCATGTGCAGAGGGTACTCTCACTTTTCGTAAAATTTTACCAATGAGCTGAGCAGCTGTTCACACATACCAAGTAACCAATTTTTTGCTTACCGGAATTGTTGGGCCGATACTACTGGTTTTGTTCAAATTCGCGGTTCGCGATAAACAGAGCCAAAAATTAGTGGGATTGGTTTATAACATACTCCGGTCTTCAAGCTGTTGACCTCCTCCTCAACAACTAACGAACTCTTTGTGATTTACTACTCACACGGTTTCTGAAAATCCATCGGCAGCCCACGACCGGTTTCGCAATTTTCGGGGCTCATCAGGTAGGCGCAGTCCCCGGGTTTCCGTCGACCTTATGTTCCACTTGAAACCAAATTGCACGAAATTAGCGAATATACACTCATTTGCAAACTAATTTGGTTTTTTGAGAGAATCACCTGGAACCTAGCTGAATCTCTCGTTTGTGATGTTTTCTGACGAACTCGATTTCTTGAGGCATTCAACCGTCCCACGACTAGCTGAGTAGTTTTATAAGTAGTACGGCAATTTTAAGAAAATGGATGGGATAAACAGCTGCGGACTTTTGCTCAAGCAGTTCGGGCCACAAAAATTGGCCTAATGTAGTACATTATCGACCTTTCTTTGGTCTGGTTAAACGAAAAAAGCAGATCTATTGGGAATTCTAAGTTTTTTCTACTAACGCTCTACTAATGTAACGATGATATTACTGATCGGGAGGCACGCGAGTAGTATGTGTTGTTTGTAGAATTTCGCTTTCCGTCGATGGAAAAAGGGACTTCTGTTGCGGAATTCGTGGGACCACTTTGTGACATTTGCTTGGATTTGACGACGAACAAGTGGAGGCAACTAATCTCTAAGAAAA